GGGGGCACGGGAAGGGGCTGGGGGCGTGTCAGGGGTCCGCAGTGGCGCTGCCGTGGCCGGGGTGGGGTCAGCGCTGCAGCAGCGACTCCCCACTTACCCCTCGCTGTGGTCAGAGAGCTGCGGGCGGGTCGTGGCCCCCGGGAGGTGTCGGGGTGTTTGGGGAGGTTTCGGGAGGTTTTATAGCCACGCCGCAGGAGGGGACAGCGCAGCCTTTGTCCCCCCCGCCGCGGTGTTGAGTTTCCTGGTGCGGCCGGACGGACGCACAGACACCGCCTGACGTTCTCCTCCTCCTTCTCCTCCTCTGCTCCCTCCCGACGTGGGCACCGGACCAAACTCGGCCCTCGGCCCCGCCGGGCTGAACTTCCCGCGGCCCCGGCGGCCTCGGGAAGGTCCAGGGGAGCAGGATGGGACCAGGGGCTGAGGGGAGGGACACGAGGGCACAGAGGATCCCACAGTCCATCCCAGCAGGATGGAGACACGGATGATGCCCAAATTCCCTGTTCCCATCCTGCTCTGGCTCATCCCAGCCCAGATCCAGCAGTGCCACCGAGCCAGAGTGAGAGTTGTGAGTCAGCTCCCACTGACATCATCCCTATTAATAGTGGGCTCTGTAAAAATTAATTAATCCAAATTAATTAGGGGGTTGGGACCTGAGCGTTCCCCTCTAATCAGTGTGTATTTATAACATGGCAGCCCTGGCACGTTTCCACCTGGGAGAGGGAGCAGCCCCAACATTCCCATGGGGACCCCGGGCACGACCCCAGACAAAGCCCCGGGCCTGGCCCCGATGTCCCTGATTGTCACCCACCCCATCCCTGTGTCCCACACAGAGCGAGGGTGGGACAAGCAGCCCCCCAGGACAGCACAGGGAGTTTTGGGGTCCCAGAAACCCAGTGGTGTTTTGGAAACCCAGGGCAGGGACGTCCCTGGCACAACACCCCTGTCCCCTGCCCGGTTTCTGCTGAGCCCTGACACACTCACTCCACCTCTCCATGGGATGGGGAGGCTCCAATGGCACCTGCTCCTCACCCCACACCCATCACACCAGCTCACGGGGCAGGAATTGGTTTCCTGCAGCCCCATCCGGCCCGGCCCCGGTCCCGGGATGACGGGGGACAGGGACAGGGACGGCACTTCCTCCGGCCCCACGTCAGGGCCCGGGATGGGCCATTGGGAAACGCCGGGATGAGTCAGGAGTGGCACCGACCGGGCCGGGTTTGGGGTGAATCACCGGCCCCGGAGCCAGGTGGGCCCGTGACTCGCTGCCCCTGGAATTTTGGGGTGCCAGGTTTGGGGTGAGGGAGCAGCAGGAGTTGGGGAAAAGGCACCTTCTGGTCAAGGCTGGGATCCCAGTTTGGGGCTGTCCCCGTGGGCAGGGAGGGGTGACCCTGCCAGGGGACCCCCAGCACGGCTGGGAGGGGACCATACAGGGACTGGGGGTGTATAGGCACAGGGGCCATATAGGGACTGAGACCATATAAGGACTGGGTCATGTGGGGACATGGGCCATATGGGGACAGGGACAAGGACCGTATAGGGATAGGGGTCATATAAGGGCAGGGACCATATAGGGACTGGGGCCATATAGGGACATTGACCATATAGGAACTGGGGCCATATGGGGACAGGGGCCATATAGGGACCAGGGCCATATAGGACTGCAGGACTCCATGTGGCAAAGTGACCACGTGCCTCCCAGGGGTTGGTGTCACCTCCATGTCCTGTCCTGGGGTTGTCCACAACCTCCCAGGGTTGGGGACTCCAACCAGGGACGGCCACTGTGCCCACCATGGGCCCCCCCAGCTCCACTGGAGGTGACCATGAGGCAAAACCGGGTGCCCAGTGCCATCCCAGTGCTGTCCCAGTGCTGTCCCAGTGCCATCCCAGTGTCCCCAGTGCGTCCGCAGCAGCTCCTGCCATTCCAAAGCCCAGGGATGGAAAAGCCTCTTCCCTGTCCCAGCGCTGGGACGGAGAGACAAGATGGGCCTGGCCCGGCCCCAGTAACTGGAGTGACTGGTTTAGCTGGGCCGGAGGGAGCTCAGGGACTCGCAGCAGCTGGAACCTGTTCCAGGCTGTTCCTGGCACGGCCTCGCTGCTCCTGCTTTGGAAGGAGCTTGTCCCGGGAATGTGCCAGCTGGGCGTGATCTCCCCTCACCGCAGCGACCACAGGACCCCCCAAAACCCCAGTGATGCCCCCCCGGCAGTGCCAGGGCTCCCCCAGCTGGTCCCAAATCCTGCTCTCCGGGAGGGTTTGGGCTTCATGGGAGCCCTCTGGTGCCACAGCCCGACCATGTCCCTGTGCCTGGTGCAGGGACCAGGGCCGGGTTATTTTTGGGGGATTCCTGGCCCCGTCACAGGCAGCTGTTCCCCAGCTGGGCAGTCCCAGAGCCGGGCTTTCCCGGAAGGAGCAGCTGGATCCGGGGGACAGGGACACACCGAGTGAGTGCCACCAGTTCCTTCCCTTTCCCTCCATTCCCAGGCTCTGGATTTGGTCCCCGAGTGGGGATCGACCTGGGCATTTCCCAACCCCAGGGACAGGAAGTGCAGGAAATGGAAAGGAGGGAGCAGGATATAATTAGCCCCAAATTAGGGCTGGAATTTGGGATAAAGAGCCTGGCACCACCCGGCTCTTGCGAAAAGCAGCTCCCGGCAGCCCCTCTCTGGAGGGTCCCAATCCCTGTAGGGAGTCCCAAAGAGGGGGATAATGAGTTTGGGGGCTGAGCTCACCCCAGGAGGGACCCCCAGGGAGGTCGTGGGGGTCCCAACCCTTGGAGGGAGATCCCAACCCCTGTGGGGGGTCCCAATCCCTGTGGGGGGGTCTCCAAGAGGGGGGATGATGATTTTGGAGGCTGAGCTCCCGCGGGGCCGCCGGAGCCGGGCAGGCCGTGGGGGTCCAGCCTGTGCGGATCCGGGGCCGTAACGGGAGCCCGGATTATCAGCATTTCCAGGGCCGGCTCGGGAATCTGGTTTCTTGGCCGAGGCGTTGCTGGAGCAACGTCCGGGCTGGAATTGTGGGGCCTTTTGAGAGTGACAAGAGGCCTTTCAGCGCTCGGGGGGCCCCGGGGGACGCGCTGGAGTCACCCGATAGCCCCCTCGGCTCCCCCCGGCCCCGCCGGCTCCCGTGTCAGGGCCCAGGACACCGGATCCCTTTCCAGCCCTGGGACAAGGGCTGGGCACGGCCCTGGCACCAACAGCACCGCTGACAGATGGGGGATGCCAGGGGGACCCCGCGAGGTCAGACCCCGGGCACTGGGGACACGAGGGGTCCGTGGTGACACAAAGGACACCGGGGACACCAGAGACATGAGGGACATGGGCCTAGGGTGGGACTGACCCTAACAGCGACCCAGTGCCCACCCCACACTTCCCCAGCATCCCAGGGGTCCAGGCTCATCTATGGGGGGCGCACCGAGCCCCCCAAAGTGACGCTGTGCCCACCCCATCCCTTCCCACCAGAACCCCACAAGCTCTGGTGGGGCTGGAAGTACTTTCCAGAGCCATCCCAGTGCCATTCCAGGGGTCCAGACTCATCCCTGGGGGTGGTGAGGGACACATGAGGAGGGCACTGAGCCCCCCAAAGTGACGCTGTGCCCACCCCATCCCTTCCCACCAGAACCCCACAAGCTCCAGTGGGGCTGGAAGTGCTTCCCGGTGCCATCCTGGTGCCATCCCGGGGGTCCAGTCCCCCAGGTCCCAGCCCCCGCGGGGGTGGCCGGCGGTGCCAGCCGGGCTGTCCAGCCCTGGTATCAGATCCTCCCGGAGGGAGGGGGCTTGGAGCTTATTTAACGTCCCCGGCGGCCCCGTCCGGGAGCACTCGCAGCACGGGGAGCTCAGGTGAGCACAGGTGGCCTGTGAGGGGCAGGGGGAGGGGTCTCCCTATCCCAGAGGAGCCCCCCACCCAGCCCGGGGTACCCCAACATCCCGTGGGTCGATCCCTGCCCGGCACCGAGGGATGGGACAAACGTGACGCTGCCGGGAAGGGGACGAGGCAGGGAGTGAGGTGCCATTGGAAGGGGGGCTGGTGGATGGGGTCCCTCCCCCTCTGAGGAGCCCCCCACCCAGCCCTGGGGGGCACCAGGGTGCCGTGGGACCCCCAGATTTGCAGTGTCAGTCCCTGCGCAGCGCGGAGTGAGCAGAGGGACCAGGACGGGGCAGGTGACGTTTGGGGGCTGCCCTGTGAGGGGGGAGGTGGAGGGGGTGTCATCCCGGCACCCCGGAGCCCCCCACCCAACCCTGGGAATGCCCAGGATGCCCTGGGACCCCCAGATCCACAGTGTTGATCCCTGCACAGCGACGAGGGACGGGAGCGGGACCAACGTGACGCTGCCGGGAATGGGAGGGGGAACAGGGTGGGCACACTGAAAGTGGGGCAGGTGCGTGGGGTCTTTTCCCCTTGGACGAGCCCCCCACCCTACCCTGGGGGGCACCAGGATGCCCTGGGACCCCCAGATCCTCAGTGTCGATCCCTGCCCAGCAGGACCAGGAGATGCTGCCGGGAAGGGGAGGGGGGCGACATTTGGGGGGGGTGTCATTGAAAGGGGGCTGGTGGGTGCCCCCCATGACGCGGGGAGGGGGTTCCCACAGCCGGATCCATGGCGTCACAGCTGGAAGGGGCCATGGAGACCCTCATCAACGTCTTCCACCACTACTCCGGGAAGGAGGGGGACAAGTACAAGCTGAGCAAGAAGGAGCTTAAGGAGCTGCTGCAGAGTGAGCTGGGATGTTTCCTGGAGGTAACTGGGACCAGTTGCAGCACTGGGGGGGTCTCCCCTTCCCCTCTTTCCCCCTGGGCTCACCCTGTGCCCCCCCACCAGACCCAGAAGGACACGGGGGCCGTGGAGAAGATCATGCAGGACCTGGATGAGAACGGCGATGGGGAGGTGGATTTCCAGGAGTTCGTGGTCCTGGTGGCCGCCCTGACCGTGGCCTGCAACACCTTCTTCTGGGAGAACGCCTGACCCACTGCGCTCCCACCCCGCACACACGGCATTCCCAAAATCCAGAACCCCCCCCGCCACCCCCTCTCTGCTCCCCAGCATTCCCAGGGGATCCTGCCAGGATCCAGCTCCACAATAAAGGCACCGACCCAGCCCGGGTGTGTTGGCAGCTCCTTCATTCCCAGCATCCCCCTCCGAGAGCCTCCAGGGATTCCAGGGAGTTTTCCCTCTCCCAAGCCACCCAGGGTCACCCCAAGTGCCTGCAGACATCCCTGGCTCCACCTTGATCCATCCAGGGAGCCTGAAATCCATCTTAGATCGCCCCAGGGAGCAGGTGATCCC